AACATCAGACACATCACGTTAAATAATGGCAAAATGTTTTAACTACATGCTGGGCTGGTGGTTTTCTCAGCCAAAGACATCTTAAGCTCACTTTTACAATTTGGAAATTATGTAAAATTTTTTAACTAAAGATCTCCATTTGAAAACTCATTTGTCTGTGATGTTAACCTGTGGACATGCTTCCTAAGGGAATGGTAACATTTTCATTTCATACTGGGGAAGAAAAATAACCTCAAATACACTCTCATGTCATTTGCCTAAATCTTGTTTGGACAGCTTGCATGTCTCACAATTTTCCTGTTATCACTAGCTCCTCTGAATTAGAGTGAGAGCAGGGAGATAAATGTAATACTGCAATATACAGCTCGATACTGAAGATCACTCTGCTGTGACATGCCTTGCACTTCAGCACTAACACAATGATATGGTTATCTATGGTTTGAGGAGACTGAACAGCCTGTAATATATTAACACACTTTTCATTTCAGAGATAGTGTCAGGAGCTGAAAAACAACTCTGGTTCATCATGCTGCTCTGGTTATTTCCCCTCAGGTCTTCCCTCTGAAACCCACACCAGATTTGTGGGAGCAGAAACACCCTCACCCTGCTCAGGCAGAGCAACATGACCAGGAACCACGTGCTGGGGTTAAGATCTAGCAAGAAAAGTCCATAGGGTCGCTTTTTCTGCAGCTTCAAAAATTAACATTCTAAAAGACAACTTGCAGCAATTCCTATTTTTAAGTTTCTCAAAGGAGCTTTGAGATAATTTTAAGAAGCCCATTGCCTGTAAGACATTTGACATCCGGAAAGGAGAACAGTCTCTGGCTGCAGAGGCACTTTTTCTTTCTTCCAAGCCTACATGCAAAGTATCACTGGCACAGCGAGGACAGAGAGAGATGCACAGCCCAGGGTTTCATTTAGTTTTAGGCTTTTTTCTCACCCGACCCAGCTTGACGCTGGCGCCTGGCTACAGTTCCAGCTGCCCCTGAAGCCAGTCATGCTTTTGCTTGTGTAGCTGACTGCTGAATTGGCAAAAGCTACCTTCACAAAACCCCTTTTGCCAGAACACCTTTTTGTGCTTACATTAAAGAAAAAATTCAGATAAAGCTTTTGCCAACAATATTTTGGTCTATTGGAGCAGACGTTTCAGAGTGATAAAATAAACCAGCATTTCCTCAGTGTTTTAGCTCTTCATTCAGAGCAGAATTTGCTCCTCATGGAGGAACTCAGTGGTAGATGGGTACGTGTAAGGAGAAGAGCAGCCATGCCTGTTTCAGCTTCTCTGTAAGTCATGAGATGTGCAGAAGTGTTTAAAAAAGGAGGAGGGGAAAGCTGGAGAAGACATTCTACAAGGATTGAAAGTGTTTCTGGAAGAGCAGAAACAATACACACTTGGAAAAGCTCCTCAATTTAGATTACATTACTAATTTTTTTTTATTTGGTTGCTAAAAATATCTTTATAGAGAACATCATAAAAAGACAAGACCTGGGCAGATTAAAACCCACATGTAACTATTCCCTCGTGCTTTGCACGACTGTTAAATGCACAGGTCTTGCTGAAGTGAAAAGACAAATACAGGAAACACGAAGTGATGAGGAGTGCACACATCTCGTTACAAACCAGCACCTGGTATTTCTCTTAGTTACAGAGAAGTTTTAGAACACTGGTGACTAATACAACTCCCTAATCCTTGGTCAGCTTTAGAAACCTTCATAAGGCCAAGGTGAGGGCTAGGCTACTTCCTTAATAATAGAGGGAATATGGCATCTCTAATGATTGCTTCTGGCTGTTTTTCTCCTTGCCTGTAAGAAGGCCAAACATTTGCTTTCTTAAAGTGATGCAGAGCTCTCTATTTACCAGCAGACAGATCCTGACTGCCCCCCAGGAACCTGAAGGTAGGCTTGCAAGGTGGAAGTTTCAGGTTGAAGACCACAAGTTTAATGCTTTCTTGACAGAGAAGTTCAATTAAGGTGGTAGAATCCTGTTAGCATGCAATGGCTTTGTATCTTAGATAACCTACTATTCATTTTAATGTTACCCACCTGAGGGAGGCTCCCCTAATGAATCTATTTTCGTAATGTCATGTAGGTTGAAGTTTAGAGCTAAGTTTAGAGCAGTCACATAAAAAATATCAAACCAGGAAATAGTTTAATTGAAGCAGAGAGTAATCACAGCAAATTACAGTGAAATTTCTATGGGATTACATTTTGCATTCCCCAAACAAGCAGAGGAATTCAGCTCACAGTCTTCCCATTTTGGTGAGAACTCTCTTTAAGGATATGCTATGTAAGTAACATAATATGATGCCATAAAATCTGTCTCAAAAGTTACAGTTTAAGATGCTTTTGTGACCCTGTGGGAAGCCCATGCTGGAGCTGGCTCCTGGCAGGACTGGTGGCCCTGTGGAGAGAGGTGCCCACCCTGGAGCAGGCAGGACCTGTGAGGCTGCTGGGGATCCATGCTGGAGCAGTTTGTGAGGAGCTGCTGCCCATGGGAAGGGCTCATGTTGCAGAAGTTCCTGGAGGACTGGCTCCTGCAGGAGGGACCCCACCCTGGAGCAGGGCAGCAGTGTGAGGAGCCCTCCCTGAGGAGGAAGGAGCAGCAGAGACAAGGCGTGATGAACTGACCACAGCTCCATCCATTCCTGTCCTCTTGGGCCACAGGGAGGGAGAAAAGTAGAGAAAATCATAAGTAAAGGAAGAAGAGAGGGGCAGGGAAAAGGCTTTTTTAAGATTTGGATTTCTTTTCTCATTACCCTACTCTGGTTTGTTTGGTAATAAATTCAATTAAATTTTCCCCAAGTCAAGTCTGTTTAGCCCATGATGATAATTGGTGAATTATGTTTCCCTGACCTTAAATCATAAGCCTTTTCTGTTCTCTCTCCTGTCCAGCTGAAGAGGGGGAGCAATACAGCAGCTTTGGTGAGCACCTGGCATCCAGGCAGAGTCAAACAACCACACTGGTATTCACAGTGACTTCCACAAATCACTGCAGAATTTAACCTCTTTCCACTAACAAACCCAGGTATTTCACAAGGAGCATCTCTGGTCAGCACCTCCCTCAGCTGCCTTGAACACCTCCTCTGAAACACTATATAAGCATCTGGCATATATAAAAGTATATTCAGGTTATCTCTTTCATCCAGGCTTTACAGCCCACAGACCAGTAAGAAAATAAAAATAATTTCGCATCCCATTTTGCCACATGTAGGGATTTTCTCTACTTTTCAACAGGTCTCCAACATGAGAGAAAGGTGGGAACTGTTGACATCACTCTGTCACTACTGTACGGTTCTGGATGGTTTTTAGTGAAAGAAAAAACAAGTTGCCTTTTCAGTAACAATGTCACTGCAAATCTCTCAAGGCTAATTCTTGGTAACAGCCACCATAAATACACTGGAACATGCACAGAGCAACAGCCTGACCCTAACAAAGGCAAAACAAGTTTCACCACTAAATTTAGAAAAACCTCAAAATAATCTATATTGAGTAACACAAAATAAGATTTCAGCCCATAAGGGGAAAAAGAAAAAAAAAAGAAAAAAAAAAAAGAGAGAAGCATGGGAATGGGATGTGTCCACTTAAGATGATCTGTAAATATACTTACAACATCTTTATGATCTACTACAGAGATCCTTCAGAGGAAAGCATTTTGCAACAGGAAAAGCCCCTTATGTTCAGCTTTTTTTAAGTTTATAGAAGTACAAAAAGGAAAGCAAGATTCAACTATACATGGCTGTATAGTTTAATATTAATATAATGCTAAAATTTACTTACCAGTCCTTTGGTGTTTTAATCCAAAATTATTCCCCCAGACTTTTACACTTTCTACAGCACTAAACCAAAGAGTTGTGCTGTTGCCCCCACTCTGTGAGCTTGGAGGGAGGGACAGGAAAAGATACAAAATCTGCCTGAAAGGCTTTGCAATCTTTGTGTCACTGCAAGTGGTGTAGATCGACCCATGTTTTGCTAAAAATTAATGATGTGCCTTCTTAAAGGACACTAGATTGAAATACAGCATCTGTGCCTGTGGCTTCCATATTTTCATCTACAAAATCCCAAAAGAGATAAAACATACAGTATTTTTTTAGGGCAGTTACAGTGAGTTTTCCACATCTGTGCTGGATGCACAGGTTGAAAGGGCAGTGTGTACACAGTGGCCATTTTTCCACATACCCCAGCTGAAGGGGCAGAGATGCTCTGAAAGGCTGCCCAGGCAGTAAATGGATGGGAATTATTTCTAGGCACAATTCTAACACTGATACCATAGCAAATCCGCACTTATCAATTGGTACAGTGCTTAAAATGAATTCTGAGGCTACTGATTTAAAAGCAGATTATCTAATCCTGATACCACCCCTGTGCATTCATGGGTTGTCTTTCCACAGGTCAACACATCCCAAAGTACTCTCAAAATGAACACCAGGTCTTCTCTGTGCATAAAACATTTTAAGACTCAAACCTTGAGAGACGGGCAAGAGTTGCAAGCTCAGCCTGACAGGATGCTCAGCTCAAACACAGGGGTGCAATTAAAGAACAATTCCCAGCCTTTATGAGAAGCTCCAGATCATGCCCAGCTCCAGAGGCCAGGCACAGCAGAGGGGTGGCCCATGGCCCATGTAAATAAGTACTTCCCAAGCTGGGAGTAGGAAGGTGACAACTCACATACATGACAGGAGTTATAACAGCAGGTAATCTCAAGGGCTGGTGTCAGTTTTTGTGACTTTTGTACCATCCTTGAACTTGACATGAGACTTTTTGATCTCCCAGGAAAGTCTTTGTTAATTGGCACATGGAAGAAAAGACTATGAGGACATTGCAGTTTTCTGCTTGTTTTTTAAAGCACAAAATTTTGCACATTAAGAAAAGAAAAGTCTTCAAGAAAAGGTAAATCAAACCCCAGAATCTCATTTAGTCTCTCTACTCCCAGACAAGGCTGAAGTCAGGAACAGAGAATAAAAGAGAGAGCTTAGAAATTAAAATAAGAATGTTTTTGTTACCTTTTCTGCAAGCCAGCCTAGATGCCTAATTTCTCGACTTCCAGCAATCCCTGTTTTACCCAGCTGGTCTCTGACCTCTGCAATCACCCTGGGGATGAGCTCATTGACACTGGAGTGGATGGCATTGAACCAGGCCTGGGCTGTAGCTGAATCCTTACTCCTGAGCACCACGGTGTGCTTGGCATCAGGTGAATGAACTTCAATAATTCTAGAAAAATGGGGGGAAAAACATTATGTTCATTCATATACTAATAGGCAACTAAATTTATTACCTCGTTTAGTGAATGTAATGAGTTAGAAAGGATACTAATATTGAGACCTAGCACTAAAAACTTACCTTTTCAACACCTGAATAGAGTAGGATCATCTTAACTGAAGCCAGATCTCAGGTATTATAACATCCTTGAGAAGGGGATTCACCAGTGCTGATGCAATCCCACATGCAGCACGTAAATAGGAATTTCAAATATAAAGGCAAGAGGAATATTCACTGACATGGACACTGTCCAGAACTGCAAACTGCATGGAAGATGACTGTGGAGAAGGCAGGGATAAGCTGCTGCCTTCCTTAGCTGGTTATCATGGCACAACCAGAGTTTTTCAATGTGTTTATTTTTTACATGCAGAGATAAATGAAAATCAGCCTTGCCCCAAACAGAGGAATTTTCCTAGGATTGTTCTGTGGCATCAGTGATACCACTAAACATTACACAGGCCTAGCACAAGTGGCCTTCTCCAGGAGTTACCAGCATCCCCAAAGCTCCATTTACATCCTGCTAACAGTGGCAACAAGAAAGTGCTAACAACAATCATATGATTGCTGCTGGCAGCCACCTTTACAGATTTTCAAACTCCTGTAGAAGGAAATGAGTTTTGCTTCAAAGAAAACATTCTTACTGGACTATCCTATGGGTTTTCACTATGGTTTGAAAAGTACAACTGAACACAGATTTCAGGAAAATGAATCCTGTTCATTGTGGTAATGGGACTTGTGCCAACACCTTTGCTAACAACAACAACAAAAGTGCTTTGACAGGCAGCTGCAGCTATTTCAGCACTGTTCTCAGTGAAGTTATCAATTATTAGTGGGGCTTTGTGTACTTTTCATAGCTGTGTGGGCCATTTTACTTGAACATCTGTTAAATAACCCAATAAATAATAGCCTGTTTTATCTTTATGTGGCAATTATAAAACAAAGTCCTGGTCATTGCCCATCACTCAACTCTGTATCACATTTGTGCTTTTTTATTATAAAAGGACAGTGACAGTCCTGAATGTTACCCTCCCAAATTCGACCTGGGATCTGTGCCTAAGCATGTTCTTCTGTCCTGCGTATGGCTGCCCAGCCTCTGGGACACACAATGGCTCCTTTCTGCAGCAGAAAATTAATTAGTTCAGTGGAATTTATTCAGGTTGAAGTTCAAAACAGTACTGCAATGCACGTATTTGTTGTGCAATTACAAAATCCAGCAATTTGGAGCTTAACTAACAATTAAGAGGTTTTAATTATTTGGTTAAACCAGAGCAGAATCCAGAACAGAGGTGACTCAATCTGCACAGCTCTCTGGGGCTCAGAGAGGAAGGATCCCTGGTTTCATGTTTGTCCATTTTGAGAAGGGGAGGTTTCCACATAGACACTGTTCTAAATATAGAAAAGGTCATGATTTTCCAAACTCAGCAGCTGAACTGTACAGGGTCTTAAATCACTGGGTAGCTTAAGAAGTGGCTTGATTTTTCAGGAAGCACTGAGCCAACACAGTAATACATGTTTCCTCAGTAAAGCTGCTGCAGTTCAGCAGTATCTGAAAATTAATCTTCTTATTTAGCCACTCTAGGATGCACCAAATTTTCAGTTTCAGGTACCAAAGCAAAATTCCTTGATATATGGTGGCAGTCTTGTGAACTAGAAAACTATATTTATAGACAGGCACATTCCAAATCACACTCTCATTTTTTTCTGAACTGCTAGAGACAGCCATCTCCTTCATGGTTAGGATTTAGCCATTTGTGTCCACTGATCATTTTGATCATGCATATCTACCACACTTCTGGTCTGTCTTTCCATCACAAACACAGCTCTCCCACTGCTGAGTCCCACTGTGACTCTGGAGTTGGAGCATGTTCTTGTAGGCATTCACCAACAAAAACAAACTAGACAGGTTTGGATTTTCAAAATACATTGTCGTAATCAGTGAAATGTTGCTTATTATTTAAAGAACAGTTTTTGGCAGGAGATCTTGCAACATTTCATAAATGAGGTCAGTGACAGCATCCTCATTTCACCCACAAAAAAGTGGAAAAGTGAAGAACCCAGGGAACAAGGCAGGGAACAGGCCTGGAGTAGCAATCAGGATTTTCAGTCCTCTGCCTCCCATTTTAATACTTCTTTTAAAAACAAAAATTATTTGGACAACACAGCAGTACTGTACTGCATTTGAAAAATGATAACACACCATATAGATTGTGTGAAACAATGTTCTTTACAAAGCCTGTGGTTTCTACATGGGGACTTCCACCTACAAACTCACAGCACATCATGCAGTAAACAAAGTGCTGAACAGACTCTCAAGACTCAGAAGAAACTGCTGCTTTTTCAGTTGCAAAGGAGCAGCAGCAAACTTGTGTGAAATTCTTTATAAGTTAGAATTGTAGCAGGTTTTCACTTAAAAATAAATTATAGAGAGCTGAAAGAGCTTCAAATGGCAACTTGTTGCCTCTAATTTGTAAATTCTTCCTTCAAACGAGTGGATTAACATACAAACAGGTATTTTAGTACTTGGGCCTTCATCAAAGTGTATTTTTCTTGATGGTGACTAGTATTTGTACAAGATTTCTGTCCCCTAAAATAATGAACATTTAGACAGTTTTAACAGTTCTGTTTAAGGGGTTCTTAAACCATGCATATTCTTTCCACTATCAACATATTCAAATGTGAATGTGATATCAAAGTCTAAATTCTAATATACATCTGCATACACACATACTGAGTCATGCTTGCAAAAATACTCATTGCTCAGTGACTTCTAATAGAGCTAGTTTGAGACTGCTTGTCAGTCACCAAAGTTTGATGGTGATGCACTAACAATTGCAGAAAGACATCCTTGTTCCATGAGCTGAGTAACAAGATGACTGGACAACACCACTACACTTCTCAAAACTTAGTTGAAAACAGGAATACATGCTGCATTGACCATGCTGAAAATTACTCTTTTTATCCACACCACTTGTCCACTCCCAAAAATGCAGCTGCAAGCATCATTCCTTAGCAAGCTGCTACATAGGCCAACTTTCATATATACACACTAAAGTCTAAATTTCAACTGTCTGAATTCTGCTATTGGTGATTGCTGTACGATCGGGACTAGAAAACTTAGGAAACCAAGCTTGCAGATTTCCACCAAAAGTTCAGGGACTCCTGTCTCCACAGCCAACTGGGATGGAGATACTAAAAGAAACTTTAAATCTTCCCAGAAATCTATGGGCTCTGACTGCAATCAGATGCTGAAAGTGCTGCATCCCTATAAACTCTTTTCTTTTCTGCCTTTCAGCCCACGCTGCTTTGATTCACCAGTCCAATTGGATGATGCTTTCTGTATAGCAGCTGACTGATGGCATTTCCATATATTCTGAAAAGAAAAAAATACAAGTGACCTTAGTAAACTGCAAGACTAAGGCACTTAAATGCTTCCAGCAGTCTAGCCATTATAGTTTTGATTTGTTCCTTAGCTAAACTGACCACCTCTTACTGTCTACTGTTTATCTGCAGTTCAGTGATAAAGTTCCCTTAATTCCCCACTGAATTGAAATATTTAGGGCAATGCCACAGCTGTGTTTATTCTCACACTCCACCACAGTTATGTAAATACTGCATATGGAGCTGTTTCTGATAAAGCCCATACTAACCCAAAGGAATTATATGTTAGCTCTAGATGACTGCCAAGATGTGCGGCATCTCTCCAGCTTGGCAATGCATATGAATGATATCACATTTTCTCAGAGATCATTTGGCAAACCTTATAATAAAAGAGTAATTTTCTCTCTCCTTCTCAAAGACCCTCAATGAGCTGAGGAGTGCTTCCAGCATCCCCTTGTCCACCCGCAGAACACGGGGGTGACACAAAACCCAGCGCTTCCAAATGCTATAACCTGGCACGTAAGAGGAAAACTCTCTCCCTTTCTTCATCAGACTTTTTACTTCACAGAGGATCAGAAGTTGAAAGCAAATGTTTGGTAGACCATATTCATTCCACATTCGATAAAGCTTCCTTCTGTAGGAGTGTTCATTATCTAAGAAATACCTTTTATCAAAACTCTTTAAAGTACTTCTGCCACCAGCATTGGCTCAGGACCAAATCGGGGACTGAGTTACACTTCATGACTCTTCCTGGGTCAGATTATGTATTCAGTGACTGATGAAAGTGTGGAGTAAATCCCTTGAAGTTAATGATAAGCTGGAGCCAGAGTTATTCAAGTCCATCACACTACTTTGATTCTGCACTGGCACAGAGAGAAACAAAACAGTCTGTCACGGACTTTGCAGACTTAAAGATGAGTCAAAGGCCAAACTGTTCACTCTGTCTTCTCCATCATTGTCTGCACATGAAACCACAGTAAGAGATTTTGTTTTTTTCTGAATGTAAAAACATAGGAGCCTTTCCAGGAAAATGATATAGAAGAACACAACCTGATTTATATTTAAATAGTTGTAGGTTTTGTTATAAAATAAATTTTAAAAAACTGTTAAAATTCTTTTGAATTCTACATGCAGCATCAGGAGATGAACCAGGAACAGAATACATTAAAATTAAGCAATGGAAACTTTGGGCTTAGTCTTTAAGGAAAATATTCCAGAGAGAGACTGTTAGGATTGCAATGAATTCCCCAGCATATTCTCTGAAGAAGCATCTTCATTTGATGAACCTAAACGGAGTTGAAACCAATTTTACCAAGCAAGCACTACATGGTAATCAAGTGGAATTTTTCTATGTCCCCTCACTGTCACAAGGGTCCTTGCTGTATTAACTTGCTGTATTTTTGTATTAACAGTTACTTGGTGACTTTGAGCTTACAGTGCTAAAAATGATGTAGATTCTTTCCTGGGAGCTGGACTAGACTGATGTCCAACCAGAGGGTGTATATATCACTAATGAGCTGACACAGGTGATTCAGTTTCTATTTGCCATCCACTGGGCTTTAATAAAAGGGATA